AACCAGCCTAAACAACACAGTGACAACTCATCTCAATGTAAAAAAAAAATTATCTTTCTCATCACTGCCGTTCTTAAAACATTCCAGTTTCTCCCTCCCCTTGGTTCAAACTACAATTTCCTAGAGAGACAGAAAACCTGGCTGCTATTCCTGACTTTGCAGGCTTTGCAACTAAACCTCTGTGTGACCCTGGGCAAGCCACCTGTCTCCTCTTAGGGTCTCACATCCCCATCTGTATATAGGAAGTAGGAGGATTGGATCAGTGAAGCTTAACATTCTGAGAAAGTCACATGCCCCTCTGAGAATCTGGAAGGCATCTCTTAGAAAAAACCCACAAATACACAGAAATTTATCTACAGTGTCAAAGGGTTCACAAATACTCCTTCCTCTTTAAACCACCCCCGACACACACACACACACACACACACACACACACACACACACACACACACACACACACACACACACACACACACACACACACACGTCCTAAGCTAAGAACCACTGGCGGCCTCTATGACATCAAGTCCTTTCTGGGATTATGACCACGGTACCTGCATCTGAGTGACATGCCTGTAGGGTGGGCATCCTTAGGAAGCCCGCAGATGGGGGCTGGGACATCATGATGTTTTGAGTTAAACTGCCCAAAGAGGCCAATCAGACTTAACACCAGCCAGCATCGAGACACAATGATTGATGGCAATTGGCACTTAGCCTGGGGGGCGGGGGGGGGGGCGGGTTGAGGGAAATAGAGGGGCCACACCCAGTTTGGAAAGGACAGCTGCCTTTCGGCTCCAGCCAATTGCTGTCATAGGGAATGGGGGACCCAGTGGGGACAGCTTTTATTTTTCAAGAGAAGTTTTAGATCTGAGTTTAGAAACCTCTTAATTTTCAAATGATGACACTCAACAGCTTTTATAAACACTGTGGGCTGACAGTTTGTGACTTCCGCCTACGTGGTCCAGACTGCCAGGCTGAAGATGGAGAAACTGAGGCTAAGAGGAGAGGCGAGATGAATTCTTCTATTCTTTGCTCTCCCATCTTTCAGAGATTAACGACAGTTCTCAATGGTGGGCTGAGTGCTGTGTAGTCACGATTTAATCTTGCAACTGTTAGAACGGCAGTCTCTCTTCCGAGATCACAGCTAGACAGAGTAGGTGGCAGAGCAGGACCTGAGCAATAGAGCAGGCTCTGTGCTCTTCTGCACCTCATTGTCCTAATAGGAGGGGCCTGTGGAAGTGGCAGTCACTTCTCAGAGAGCCCCAAGGCCCTGGCCATGCCCACTCTGGGAACTGGTCCTGCCTGGATGGACAATGGCTCTGTAATCCGGGTAGATGCGCATCTCAGAGTGCTTTAGTAATCCAGGTTGGTGCATTGTCTGGGAAATGGTCATGGAGCAGCCTGGGGGGCTGGAAGTGTTGTGTGGGGCACTGCTTGTAACGTAGGGGTCCCCTATCCCTACCCCTGCTACGTTTACTCCAGCCTGGCTGCTTTGGCTCCCTGGCCCGGCCCTATCCATCTACTCCAAGGCTGGCCTTTGCCCCTGAAGAGCAGGAGCGGCTTGTACCCTTCACCCTCTGTGAGCACATCTCTCCCTGTCCACCCACAAAGCCATCAGGCCCCGAGTTTTTGAATTATCTGAAGCAATTTACAGCTCCCTCTCTCTCCTGTAAGATTCTTGCCCCTTCCCCAAACGTCCCTGGCCATCACAACCCAAATCCTTCTTCCCATTGGGGAGGAAATCAGGAAGGCTGGCCAAGAGCAATGTTAAGAGGCTCGGTAGCAATGTTGTGTGGTAATAGAGGATCCTTCCTGAGATCAGTCTGAGAATGGGGTGTTGTAGTTCAGTGGCTGGACCTCGATTACACTCTACAGAATATTGGTTAAAACAAACTACCTACTCTACCAACTTCTACAGAAGCACAGTGGGAACGAAACCTCTTTCTGGAGACATTGGAAGGCATCCCAGGGAAGATAATTGCACTGGGTCTGAAAGTTAGAACAGGGCCTTAGTGTGTGCACTGGCTTTGGAGGCAGATCCTCTCGGTTAAAATCCCAGGTCTACCACTTATCAGCTGTGTGGCCTTGGGCAAGTGACTTTATCTCTCTGAGCCTTGGTTTTCTCATCTGTAAAATGAAGCCAATTATATCAACCTAATTTGCCTGTTTCAAGATTGTAAAAAATGCAGCATCTGTGCTCAGAAGTGATAATTATTGTAATTATATTATTTCATAAGGCCACTTGGCCTCTGTTATCCCGAGAGCTTCATAGAAGCAACAAGTCTGCGGTATTCCAACTACTGATTCCAATTAGAACATCACCTAGAGCTCCATTATCTTGCCCTGTCAATGGTGGATTTAGAGTCCTAAGCTGCTCCCCCTCCACCATGCCCAGTGGGAGGGAAGCCAGTCAGTCAGAAGTTTTCTTGAGACTCTTCAGGTGCAGGAGAGGAAGGGGCCAGGCCCAGGGGAGGAGGTGGTGAGAGAGGAAGAGAACAGGGAGGGTTCCAAACCTTGCAACAGTTAAATGTTAATATAGGTGTTGGCATAGGAAGTGTCTTCTAATGACAGAAGGAACCGAGGGAGTTTTTCAATCATCTCCTGCTTAACACATACAGATGTATTCATAATTATCCCTTGCCTCCGGCCTCGAGGCCCAGGTGGGCTCCAGAAGGCCTGTGTTCCTGCCAGACAAGAGTCCGTAAAGAACATCATGTAGACAATTGGAATGCCATTTATCGTGCAAAGCACAATAAAACCCCGAGCTCTCTTCCTGTCTCAGAGACCCATAAATTATGAAAATTATACCTGCCCCAGGCCATGGACATATTGTTTTATTAAAGTTCTGATGAATAAACTTAAGGCTCTTAAAAATGTTCTCTTGGCTTTCATCTGACACATACCTCTAGCATGGAGCCCGCTGTCTGGGTTCATTTGATTAGTTCACTAACGGACTTCGGGAAGTTGAGCTCACTTGAAGCTGCAGGTTCAGCAAGCCGGAGAGGCTGGCTGGAGAGCTGCAGGAGGGAGCTGGGGCCTCCTGGCCAGATGACAAGGCAGCCCGGGGCGTTCTCCTGTCACCAGCTCCGGCCTTCCCAGGCCCTTCTTCCTGGAATGAGCACCAAGGCTTGGTGCCTTTGTAGGGGATGCTTGTTTATGGGTATGGACAAGGCTGGATTCTGCTTCTTCCCCCTTAATTTTCAATTCCATCACTGGGGAGACTTATCTACTCCATCCTGGGCTGCTTCGTTCTTCCCCAAATTGAGTTGCTAAATCATTCAGTTTATCTGTTTTTACCTTCTACCCTTCAATCATGTATTGGGTATGGGAGAACTTCTCTGAATCTCAGTTTCTGCATCTCTAAGAGGGAAATGACAATGGCATCTGCCTTGCATGTTCACTACCTGGCAAAAAGAAGCTGTTCGATAAATGCTAACCATGATTATTACCCCTAAGCCATATTATAACTGGGAAGCAAAGGAATAGGGCCAGATGGATAGACACGAGGCACACGTGGACATTTTTCTCTAGACACCGGTCAGCTCCAGTTTCCCCAAGAGCATCTGGGCGGGTGAGATGTTAAGCATTCAAACCCTTGTATAGGTGGTTGTGGTTGTTTTTCATCTGCAAACACTAAGAACTATGAAAGTAAAATCAGGGGGCAGGCCTGCCATGTTCCCACCCACAAGGAAATCCAAGACTGAGTCAAGGTGTGGTCCACACTTAATGGGGACTGAGCTGATTAAAGACAGGTATCCCTAAGTTCCAGTTACTCACCTTGTCTTACTTACCCTGTCTATGAAGGAAGACTTAGAGCACTAAGTAATCTTTGTCCATCCTACGGGAAAGGGACAGGCCACATGGTCTGGCGACAGAGGACAGAGAGGGAGCCTATCTTACTCTAAAGGTTTTAGAGCAAACAAGGCCACATTGAAGAACATCCTGTGTCTTCTTGGGCAGTGACCAGGGATCCTTGGCATGTCTGGATGTCTGCAAGAACTTGAGGTTTGGATTTCACAAAAGATCCTGAAGGCTGTAATTGGCGACCCCCTAGAAAAACCAAGAACTGGAACATGGTTCCTGATCTCTCCCTCCACCCAGCCCCTCTCTTCTCCCACCCCTTGCCATTGTGGGTGTCTCCCCTCACTTATTGGTAATAGGAAAAAACCTCTTAATTATAAATTTCTTTTCTAGAAAACAAGAGGCGTGTGCTCACATATGCAACTTTCACTGTGATTGGCACATGAATCGAGGTAGTGAAAAGGTCCCCACAGCTATGTCAGTGGAGAAGCGGCTGGGTCTCTAAGCTTGAGTGCTGTTGGTGGGCTGGGGGTGACCAGGGAACTGGAGGGAAGGTGCATCAGGAGGTCACTAAATGGATGGAAGGTTTGAGGTCAAAGGAACTGGTTTTATGCAATATCCACCTATCCAGTGAAAATAAGGAAATCGCCAAGGGCTTTTTGGTTTGGCTTCTTGAATCGTGTATGTGCGTGTGCATGTGTGTGTGAAATCTTGCTCTGGGGGTAACCAAATCAAGGGAATAAAGGGCGAGGGGCTGCAGAATTTTTGGAGAATGGACAGGTCAGATTACCCTTTTCCACCTCTAACTCTCCCCAGTTTGGGGGACAACTTGCCTGGGAAGGAGCATTCAGCAGCATGTAGCAGCATTCAGCTTCATAACGAAGTGAGGCTTTCCTCTGATGAAGGGGTGGATAAGCCTTTGCTACTATTTCCATTCCGTGCAGTGGCCGACTGTTTGACAAATTTGGGGCCTCACTGGGTGAGGATGTCAGGGAAGTGAACACACAAACACACCAGAAACAGCAGTCCTGTGTATATTTAACAATATATATTTATATATATTTTCTAGATCAGTACATTCAGTTTTTAACTTGTTTTTTTCTTCACAAACAGAAGAACTCTTACAATAGTAGACTTTCTAAAATAAATACTATTAAAATAGAGCTTCAAAATAAATATTCTATACAAAGAAAACCTTCTGTGGTAACTTTTGTGATGGGATGAGGGGGGCTACGGTGAAGGGGGGAGATGAAGCAGGAACGTGGTGGGCTGGGAGCCTGGAACAGTTTTTCTGTTTGTAACACGAAACCAAACCGCGGGGCAGTGAGAAGAGAAAGCAAGATAAGACACCGCGCGCGCAGTGACCCACAGCAAAAAATGGCAACTCAAGATTCGTCATCGACTGTCACAGTTAGCAGAGAGGGCGTGAAGATGCTTATCCAAGGCATGAACCAGAAGGCTGGTGGAGCTCGCAGGACGCCCTAGTGAACTGTATAGTGCAAAGCTGTGCTGCTCACAGCCCATCGCACGCTTCCTGGGGCAGCACGGGAGAACGCTTCAAGGTGACAGTCATCTGGGTCCCGGGCCAGGTCAACACTTTTCACGTGTGCAATCTTGGACAAGCCATTTGTCTAGCTGGGCCTCACTGTACTCGAGGTACAATGGCGTTGGATACAGACTTCACAAGGCTGAAAGGACTAGTGATGCCCTATGAGGTCTTTGCCTCCATCAGCTGTGAAGGGGCCCACAACAGAAAGGGCCGGTCTTCACTCCCTGCCTGCCCGGTGCTCTGAGAAGCCGTGGCAGTGCCCTGCCACTCATCTGGGAAGGCTTTTCCACCCTGACCCACCTGCCGGGGTGCTTGCTGGAATGCTGGCCTTCACATACCCACCCTCGGGTGCGGGGGGCAGTCGAAGGCCCCTAGGAGGAGGGATCTGGATCCAGGCTTGGTCCCCCACTTCCAGTGAAGGCAGAACTGCACCCACCCCAGGGTGAACAGGAGTGGGGACCAGCTTGGTGCTTTTCACAAAAGGTCAAGACCAGGCATAATCCAGCCAAGCAAGCCACTGGTACAGAAAACAGCCAGAAGCAGCTAGAGAAAGGGGCCACGTTTCTGAGTGCTTGGTCCCTCAGTGGCCCTCGACTGGCCCCAGGGGTGGGGAGAGGCCGTGGATGAGCCAGCTTTTTTCTTTCTTTCTTTCTCTTTTTTGCCAAGAAGCTGAGGGAACGCTGCACAGGAGACCTGGGAGAACCAGGGAGGGTCCCCTCACTCCTTCCCTTCACCGCTGAGCACACGAGGCACGAGGCGGACTGTTAGGGAGAGGGCTGCAGACGTCTCTGCAGCAGCACGAAAGCAAACCAAAGAGAACAAGCCTAAACGGGAGAGGGGAGAGGGCAAGAAAGAAGAAAAGCAAACCAAAACCCAGAAAAAATCCGTGTTTACAACTATGTACATAAAACGTCAGGGTTCAGGAGGCCGTTTGCTGGGAAACAGGGTCTCTGTCGGTAGAGGGTCGGGGTGTGTGTGTGTGTGTGTGTGTGTGTGTGTGTATATGCAGACACAGCTTATGTAAATCAATTCTCCACAGAATGGGTGCGTAGACCACCAAGATCACCAAAGTGCAACTTGCCACTGGGTCGTTTCCCACGGAGACGATTTGAGGGAAGGGCCCTGGGAAAAGTTCCGCGGCCTCGAGGAAAGAGTGCACGTGTGCGCTACCGTCTTGGGGGCCACCTCGTCTGAGGAAACATCGCCAGTCCCTTCAGTACACTTCTGATACATTCAATTAGGATAAGTGGTTGGCTGAATATGTTTTTTTTCCTACTATTCCTTCCGAAATATTCAAGAACATCCATACATCCATCACAAATGTGGCAAGGGTAGCTACATGAATCAGCCTTAGAAAATGCAGATGCAATATTTCACATTCGCCTTTTACAAGCTAGCAAATGTTACATAAATAAAGCCGAAAATAATATGACCCTCCCTTCCTCCAATCAATAAATACCTATGGTTACAATTAACTTATTCTAAATCATAAGGTGTTACTACTAGTCTTCAAGAAGGGAAAAAAAGGTCCCGGAGAAGCATTGGGTGCATGCCAATCACAGCTACCTGCCTCATCGCCTCCTTCCTGGAGGCGGTTCTGCTCCTACAGAACAAACTGGAAGCGTGACAGCAGCCCTGCCTAATGCGCTTCCAGTCTCGCCTGGGGAAGGTCTTGCGACCCAGGCCGTGTCCTCTCATGAGAGGGGAGAACAAATTACCACACAAAGCAAAAACCCCACACCACAGCCGGGGAGGAAGGACCAGACACACTACTGCGTTTGCATGCAACAAGTACCTACCCACTGGACGTGCTGCACTTTCTGAGTCCTTTAGCACCTTGAGAGAAAGAGTTGCTACGTCTTTGGGGGCTGTCGGGAGAGGGTGGTGTGGCTATGCACTAAAGCAGGGCTCTGTCCCCAGTGTCCCCTGGAGAATCTTTCCCCCACCCTGTCTCGAGCTCTTCTGACACTCCCCCACACTGGGGCTTCCTAAAACTAAAATAGACTCTTTTTTCATCATCTCTCTATGTACATTAAAGATACAGACGCATCACTATACACAAAAGGCTATGACAGCAGCAGCAGAATCGGAAGAGAAGAAACCCACACCCGGCTCGGCTCGACTGTCATTCATTCTGCCAATGGGAGGCGCCGCCTCTCTTCCTTGCTGTTAAAATCCTCTTCTTGGTGGGGAGGGGAATTATGTTCCTTGAGGTTGCTCGCCCCCCCAGATTTTGAAATCAGCCCTTCCTGGGGGTGGCCCAAAAGGAAAGCAAGTTGTTGTATTATTATTTTTTTAAAACACCGTTAGCATCTGGTTTAATTATTCTATAAAAACGTAATGACTGGATCCAGAGACCACAGCCTCAGACTCATTGGCAAAATGATATTTGGTCTCGCATTTGTCGCCCTGGGCTTCTCTACCCTTAAAGTTTCTGGAAAGGATCTGAGTAGAGAGAACTCGGACACGTAGTGGGCAGGCGAGTCTGTGACTCGGTAAGAACCGAAGGACGGTGTGATGAACGGAACACCCCAAGAGTTAGTGACGAAGTTGGAAGGGAGAGACGCACTGCGCAGTGGCTCCTAAATCCGTCCTGTGGCTCCGGGCAGGCAGGAGAGGAGGAACAAGGCTTGGACTCACAGGCCGTCCTCTGTTTTCAGTGGGCTCCCAGGTATGTACAGCAAGGACTGCTGGGGTGTCCTATGCCTTCCCCAAAAGGTCGGGGCGAGCTGGGTTGGAGTGAGGAGCGGAAGGAGAGGAAGGTATAGAAGTCAAGACTCCAAGGGTCTTCTTCAAAGGTACCCTGGCACTCAGCAATTCTTCCCAGGCAGCCCGCTCCTCCGAGAGCCACAGACGACGGAAAGAGGGAGAGAGAAAGGAAGGGGGGGAGGGGCCGGGAAGGCATTCAAGCAGCTGCAACTTCCGGAGATGTGTCCACATCTGTGTTCCGTCTTCTGAAAAAGAAAAATCCTCCCCCCCGCACAAACCACACCCTGCCCCTGCCATTGTCTGTTTGACACAAAGTTCCAAGACCCTGAAAAAACCCCAAAGTGCTTCTTCATCCTCTCGAGGAGTAGAGCATGCGGCGGTGGTCTCTATCCTCCAAAGCTGGGGGTCGGGAGTGGACAGACTAGCAAGGCAGCCGCGGGAGGATGCAACCTCTGGCCCGGCTGCAGTCTTCTCAGATGTCAGAAGGGAACCACGTTTCCAGGGGCAGCGCTGGGGCTTCGACCCAAAGCGTCAGAAAGGCTTGTCGGGTCTGCTGGCCTTGGCATCCCCGCTGGCTGCCTTGCAGATGACGCTGTTCGTGTGCTTGCAGCGACAACCAGGGCGGCGCAGGCGGTCGTAGCCGCGCTGGGCCAGCTTCACGCAGCCAGTGGCAGGCAGGTAGCAGAGCAGGCAGGGCAGCACCAGGGAGAGAGCGCCCATGAAGGACCAGCGGGCGCAGCAGTTTGAGTGGGAGCAGGAGCAGGGGTGGTCGGCGCAGGAGCCCTCGTCGTCCTCGTTGGTGCAGTGGTAGAAGATGCCCTGCACCAGGCACATGCACGTGCCGTAGTTGACCAGGGTCTGGGCCGAGCACAGGCACTCCTGGTTGCAGACCCAGCAGGAGGGCAACGTCCTGGGGGACGCACACTCCTTGCATTTACACTTCCCACAGGCCTCGCACAGCAAGAAGTGCTTGTCCAGTTCTGGTGGGACCGCTGGGCCCTTGAGGTCCAGAGGCTTGCAGTGGACCACCTTGGGCTGGATGCGCACAGCCCTCGGCGAGGCCTGGTCAGCCACGGGCGGTGGTGCCATGTGGTCTAAGAGCCGCTGGTCGGAGGATGTGCTGCTGCTGCTGCTCACAGAGCTGGGGCGTCCACTGAAGGAGATCCAGTGGTGGGTGACATCCTGGTCACAGCGGGCGGGTGTTGGGGCCGGCTCTGGGGCCCCACCCCGGGTCCGCTTCGGGCCCGCAGTGGGGGCCAGGCCAGGGTTGTCTATGTAGTCGTTCTCCACGTGGCTGGTCTTCATCTGGTCAATGGGCAGGATGGTGAGCGGGTGCTGGAGCCGGCTGTGGGGCATCCGGCTGTCAAGAATGGGCTGGACCATGACTGAGCTAGGAGTCAAGGGGGTGCTCTGTGGGATCGGGGGCTCCATGGAGCTGGAGGTCCTGGACTGCACGGAGAAACAGGCTTCTAGGGGCCCTGGGGGTGGGTGGGGAAAAGGAAGAAAGAATGGATTCCAGGTATCAGTATGAGGCCTGTCAACAGCCACCCCCATCAGGTCTTTGGGAGCCCAACTGGAATGAGAACTAAATTCCCAGCAACTCCTAAGGCTTAGTGATTAGCAATGACGACAATAATAGTAGTGGAGGGTAGAAATAACACTTACTGAACACTTAAGATGTGTGGACACTCTCCCAAGCACCACATACATGAAGCCATTGACTTCACAATGACCCTAAAAAGGAATTACTATTATCCCCTTTCTCTAGTTTATAGAAAACTAATGTTCAAAGTAACTTGTCCAAAGTCACACAAAACGATCAGTAGCAGGACTAGGACTCAAACCTGAGCAGTCCCAGTTCATTCCTGTAAATCACCGAAACGAGCTCCTTATTTAAGATATATAGCCCAGTGGTTACAAACACAGAATCTGGACTCTGACCCAAGTTCGAATTCTCAACTTAGCCTAACGGTATTGCTATGAACAAGTTTCTTTAATCTGCCTATGCCTTAGGCCTTAGTTTTGTCATCGTAAAATGGGTTCTTGTGAGGATTAAATGAGAAAATGCATATCCAGTGCCTAGCATATTGCCTGACATACAGGAAGCATTCAATAATTTTTCACTGCCCCAGAGAATAACAGTTTAGGTTTCCTGAGCACCTAACAAGCACTCTGTGCCAAGCATTGTGCTGGGTGCAGAGGACAACGTGGTGAAAACAGACAGTCCCTGCGTGCTCCCATGGAGTTTATCAGTTGGATACCCAAAGCCTTTATTTCAGATGTTCACAAGAGAAGGAAGGGCTGTATCTGATGCCTGCGCATCCAGGATATTAACTTATTACTACCACTTCTAAGAGCAGCAACCTCCAGTGGCCAATAACCCCTGGGTATGTGAGCTTCTGACAGCTTGGATGGGAAATCCTCTCGAGGGGCACTCACATCACCCATTTCCAAGTGCTGAGCTGAACATTCAGCCTAAATGCTATTTACTAGAATAGCTAAGCCAACCCTGGATCAGTTTCTAATTTCACCGAGAGAGTGCAATTTTAAGTTGGAATCTGGCCAGAGATTCAACTGCAGTGCCTGACATGGAACCCCAGGAAGTCACTTAAATCAAAGAGCGGAAACGGCTTGGTTCAAATTTAGAAAGTGCACATTGTTTTCTATTAGAAGTGCCATTTCCTTGCCTGCTGACCTTTACATTTGGAATTCTGCTGGAGATCAATTTAAAGAAATAGCAGCAGAAGGCCAAGACCTCTGCTCAAGGGGACACAGCTTGGAATCCAAGGGAAAGATTGAACTCTGGGAAGATTCCACCCCAATCTTAAGAACCCCAGGGGATGGAGTAGGAGGGTAGAAGGGGAAGACAGTCTTTAAAACAACAACAAAAAGACCACTGGATTACCCTGTTAAGAGGTGGGGTTTCCATAAACGCTTTTTCAAGATGCTAATTAGGAGAGCTGATCCTGCCCCTCTGCTGTTAGCTTCATCTGGCCTCAAAGGTGCTGCCTGAGCAGGAGATATGGGCAGGTTTCCACTTCCAGTTAACCCCCTAGCCCCCGGGGACTCAGGACACATTTGGCCCATCCCAATATTCCAGTCACAGGAGAATGACACCCTGGCCCCCTGGGACTCATCCATCCTTATGAATGTCTATAAGACCTGGAGGAAAAAAAAAAACATCTGGAGCAACTCAGTATTGTACTTCCCCATGTAGAGACAAGTTCGATCAGATATAGTTAAAATCGTTGGGAAAAAGAACTTCCCTAGGTGCTTCCAGCAAGTCTGAAATAAAGAGCTAGCTCTAGATGAAAGCTCATGAAAGGGTTAAGAAGGGGCTTATCCACAGGGCTGTCATCTACATATCATCTCCACTGCCAAATGCGAAAACCACCCAGTCTTTTCTATAAGGTTCACTGCGCAGTAAACTGGTCTTTCCCATGCATTCACATAGGGCATCAACTATTGGCTTTGCTCCCACAGCCCTGCCCACTTAAAAGATGCTGGATTTTCTTTACGCACATTTTTCCTGGCTCGGAAAAAATCTACCTAGTAGCAGCGCCTGCCCCCATGCTCTTTTCCCCCATGCTCTCTTCAGACGAAACTAGAGCATCGCCTTGGAATGGGAGACTTACTCATGGCAGAGTTTGCCTTAAGTGTCTGGCAGGTCTGCCACCAAAGAGCAGTCATTTGCCAAGGCAGCCTTCTGCAGGGACCCTGTGGTCCCGGCTGGAGAGAGGGAATGTATGGAGAGGAGATTTTCTGAAGATCAGGCGGATGACAGGGCAGGAACTCCATCCAGGGCATGCTGCCTCAGCCTGCCCACTTATTCTGCGTAGGAGTCCAAGATCTTGCTTCTAGAATAAATGAGTTTGGGATCAACAGACTAGGGTTAGGAGCCCCAGACCCCAGCCCTGCGGATTTTGCCTGGAGGAAAAGTGACTTGGAATAAGACTAGAAAATGCCACAGATCCAGAACCCGCACCGCTGGAGAAAGACAACAGGACTCCCTTATTCCAGAAACCCAGGTCAGGAATACCAAGGTCCTGCCAACAAAATGTCAGTGGCAGTTTGAGGCTCATATTGCCCCATGTAGTTGGGTTTCTGTCTCTCAGGACCAGGATTAGACTGGCCATGCTGTTGAAAAAAGTAGAAGTATTCCTCTCCCTCAAGCAGATTATCTACTCTCCTTTCCCCAGTTCATTTACTGGGGACTGGGGTTCTTTAAAAACAGCCACATTTCCTACAGGGGAAGCAAAAGGAATGGGCGATGGCTCAGGGATTTTAATAGACCCTGGAATCAGAAGGCAGATTCCTCAATCCATGGAAAAGTCCCACCAGGAAGCCAGGCTGGGAGCAGCCGCTGCAGACAATGGGGGATGTTGGCATTAGCGGGCTCCCATCACCCCTCAGAGGCAGCTGTCAACATCTGAGCCTGCAGTTGAGGCCAGACGTGGGGGTGGGAGCTTGGCCCACAATGACTTGGCTCTCTTAGGATGTGCAGCATCCAACGGCTCCAGCAGGCACAATCTAAGATATACCATAACCCTGATGCAGGACTCAGCGAAAACCAGTGGCTGGCTCCGAGTCCCACTGCTAGCCCCACCTCCCCATTAACAAGAACCCTCCACAGGAGGGCCCTCTAAGAGCCTCTGATGAATTTATTTGGCTGACAAAGGAAAACAACTTCCTGAGCTGCCTGTTTGATAACCCCTCAGCACAGCTAAATGATGTCTCAAAAAAAAAAAGAAAACTCTCAGTTGGTTCAGACTGATCAATCTCTACTCACTGGGACACACCCACCTTCCAGTCTGAGCAACACTGCTGACAATCTTAAGTGCAGTTTAATATGTACTCTCTGCTTCCCCTGCAAGGAAGGAAGAGATTTATAATATAAATAGGAGAGAGGAGGCTTTGCCTCATTTAAGCAGTTTGGAAGAGACTGATGGCCAATTTGGAAGACTCTGGACAGAGAAACAAAGCCAGCATTCCACTTAGCCAAAGAAGCACCTCTATCAAATTTTAGGTGGCACTCTTTTATGGATTAGCATGAGGGGAGGGAACTTTTACCTCTACTCAACCTTCTAATAATAATAAATAATAATTATGGAAGCAGCTAATATTTAAGAAACATTTCTTGGTGCCAGGCTCTGTACTAAGCCCTCATTGACTTATTTTCTCATTTAATCCTCACTACACTTGGAGATAGTGCCCATTTTGCAGAGGAAGAAATGGCAGCACAAAGGGTCATAGAGCTAGCAAATGTCAGGGCAGGATTTGAACCCAGACAGCAGAAGCTCCAGAGGCTGGAACCGCAACCACGCAGACCTGTGACCTATGACTTATGGTGACTTGCAGAAGCCCTCCATAGCTTCTGGGTGCTCATGGAGAGGCACAAAAGCTCCAATCACTTTTACAACCATGAACTCCTCCAGCCCTCAGGGAACCTCTTCTGGCCACCTTGGGGCTCCGTTGGCCGCCAGCAGGGAAGTGAAGCCAGACGGGGCTTACCAGGGGGCTTACAGCACGCAGGACCCCAGTTAGGGGAATTTTCAGTGTGGACCGTGATGGTTGGGGGAGAGGCACTGCAATCTGCCACGCAGGGAAGGCTCAGAGCTCTAGTTACCCTCACTCCCAATTCAGTGCTCCTTGCCATTCCTTCTGTCACCTCACTCCCCTTTACTAAGTGTTTTCATGTTTAGTTTTCTTAAAGTTAAATGAGTCCCACTTGTAGTTCATTACCAAGCAGTCCCTCCAAGGAAGCCCCTCTCCTCCCCACCTGTCAAGTTGAACTTAAGGGTCCCTAGGGCACCTTCATCGATGGGGCTTCCTGGCCTAGGTCTGAGGAAGGAAGGAGGAGCTAGGGTAAGAAGAACGTCCTAGAATACCGAATCAGCGGGATATTAAAAGCCCCAGAGCACACAGCCCTGTATTTGCTGCTTGGCGGGTCTGGGATCCCAGAGCCAGCCAGTCTGACACTCGGTGCGTTTGTACCTGTGGGGAGGGGGCTGAGCACCCGCTGCAGACGGCTCAGTGCAGGCTGAAAAGAATCAAGAGGCATGTTAAATGTTTTCACAATTGAGGGAGATACCTGTTTCCACCCACCCACTCCCTCCCCTTGACCTACCCTAGGGAGGGGAGTTGGGAAAGCTGACAGTTGTACTTTGAAAACTACAGGTCAGCTGATGCCACACTGGCAAGAGGCTCTGAATGAATGGGCAGTTTCTGCACTGCCCCATTCAGTCTCAGCGGGATCTTTCAGTGAAGGTTGTTTAACCCTTTAACATCTCGGGATAAAGGTCCCTTAGCTGCCAGAGAGCCCGCCCACCACCACTGCTTGGTTCTTTTTGACAACACCCCAGTTTAGATAATTGAGCTACAACCAAGTGATGACTTATTGCTTTAAAGGGAATTTTTTAAAGGTGGGGTGGTGGTGAGGGAAGCCAGGGACTTGCCTCTCCCTACACCCCACAGAGGAAGACAATCTCTGCTGAGAATGGCCCCAGTGGGAGAATAAAGCATTTAGGCAGCTGGGTTTGTCTGGGAATCCTTCCTCCTCCCCCAGCCCCCCACCAGCACCAAGGAGCTCACCTCTGGCCAAAATCTGTCAGAGATCACAAAAGAAAACAGTTGCTTTTCATCACTTTGTCCCATTACCAGTTATCAGTTCCCAACCCTCTTCCCTCTTCCACAACCAACCAGTGGAGCTCCAAAGCCCCAGCACAGGAATGGTTGGGAGTCTTGCTGCATTTGGCTTTGGGCTATTTTCATCAGTTTCAAGTTTCTGCTTCACTGTATTACCCCTTAATTGTTGTCTGCTCAGATCCCTGTAAAGAGGGATTAGAAGCCAAGAGTCAGACAAGATGGGAGCTAGAAGGAGACTGCTAACCACTGGCACAGGTTGGGAACTCCTGGCACAAGTCAAAGTCTGGGCTGGAACCAGAACACCAGACCCCCAGAGGAGGGCTTTCTCCCACAGACACCAAAATCATATTATTTGTCTCGCTACCTTCCACCAAGAAATGAACTTACAGTAACAGATTTTAGCTTACTCCTGGGACAGGGGCAGGAAATGACTTCCCCTTCCCCCACCAGAAAAAGAAAGACTACCCACAAGGGAAACCACACTTCTGCAAGTGACCACCTGCCCAAAGGCCCCTTCCCTCCTCTGCTGGATCCAGCGCATCTGTGCTCCGTCCCCAGTGCCCTTGCTTCCTTCACTGACTGGGGCCTGTCCTTGGAAAGAACAATCGCGATCACAGCTGAACTGTGGAGCCTCTTAAGCCTAGCCACATGGCCTGGATACATTCTCCAGGCTTGTCAGATGTCCGGATCTGCAGGGTGGCCCCAGACCCCCAAGAGCCAAGAATACCCCACACTTCCTAACGTCACGCAACACTCCACACCTCCTGTGCAGGAAGGGGCGCCCTTGAAATCACGCCCTCCTCCTAGCAGCTCAGTAACAACCATGACTGTGGCCACTCATGAGCAGCTCTGCTGGCCCCTGGCCCCTTGGGAGGAGTTTGTTCTCTCTATTCTGCAGATGGGTAAACTAAAGCCACACTTTGCAGGTTTGCCTCGCCACTCAACTGCTCTGCCCTGGCCCCTGGCTCGGTCTGGAAGGAGCAATACAGCTTCCATGTGTTGTTCTTCATCACTTTCTTCCTCTGGCTCTTCTGAAAGAGCAAACATATTCTAATGAGTCACTGTTTTCCCCTCTGGCAGGCAGATTCAGGTTGGCCATGACATGGAACCTTCTCCACTCTTGCCATTTCCCTTCCTTTAAAACTCTACCATGTCTACATTTGAACCCCAAAATCTTCAACATTATCCCCAAATCCAGAGGCTTGGGCAAGAACCCTTACCCAAGTTGTCGTTACAAGGGAACTTCCACCTCAGTGGGGGCCAGATGACAGGCACTCTGAATTGAAAACCAAATTAAACACTGTAATTCTCAAAGAAATACTGAACTTCTGTGAATAAAGAGGAATGCTCCTTCCTAGGCCTTCCTGGTACCAATACCCAGGCCCTACCTAACAGGATGGCCAGAGTTGAGAAAAATGATTGGGGGCCCCAAATCTGTGGGCTTAAAGATATCATACCAAGGGACTGTTAGCACTGGAAAATGGAATCCCCACTTGTAATCCCAAAATATTAAACCCCACAGCAACACACTTCAAAGGCTACCTTGGGAAGTGTTAATGGGTTTTATTTCTCCCTTAATTTTTAAATCACTTACTTTAAAATTTTGCAGTACAAGGCTACCATCATTTGTTATTCAAGAAAGTCAGCAAAACCTCTGGGCATATGCCCTTTACCAAGTAGAGGGTCAGGGGTATGAACTGGGCAGAGGGTGGATTTCCAAAGAGCCATATCTCTCCGCCGATTCTGCAAGGATGCAGACAAAAATGACCTCTGAGAGTTCCAAAGGCCCACTAGCCCCCAGCCTCTGCCCTGCTTTAGCCTGGAATCGTTCTATTCTGTGTTGTCTCTTCCACCAGCTCCAACCAAAGCTTTATCCAGTGAGACGCTGCCATTTCAGAGGGTAACCTGGAAAAGGTCATGAGGCTGGGTAGGAGGGGTAAGGGCAGGAAAGCATTTGTACCCCACGAAAACAGAATGACTCCCGAGTTCAGAATCTGAAGCGGAAGATAACCAATAGACGTCTTAAAAGTCTCCCTCTCAGTAGCTGACCAATATGTGTCCATTGAGATCTCAGAAATCTGCTACCAAAATGCCTCCCGTCCACCCCACGCCCCCCACCACCAGTGCCTGCCACACGGCTCAGTCGGTCAGTGTATGCACTGTTCAGTTAGGATTCGTCTAGAGCCTGCTGGCACATGAGGATCCTCCCAAGGGATGGGAAGAGAGGGAAATGCAATTTCACTGGACATCTCTACAACTTCTTGACAGAGAGAGAGAGAGAGAGAGAGAGAGAGAGAGAGAGAGACCCCAACTGCAGCCCTCCCTTTCCTAGTCCCACACCCGCACTAAAGGAAAAAAAAAAAAAGCTAAAAATTTCAGATGTTTATGCTCCATTTGTGTGAAGATCCGGAGAACTCTAAACATTGTGAAATCCACCAGTGCAATACTGGATAGGGCCTTAGGCCAAACCGAGCTTATTAAGAGATTGATAAACCCACATTTCCCAACTGCTCTGGGCCTTTTACCTTCCAGCTTTGAATCCCTGAGAGCCTTGGTCAGCTAACCAGACAGACATGCGCTTGCTGCCACCTCTCCGCAGGTTCTCTGGCCTCTAGGGTGTCAGGCCTCTCCCTAAACTGGAGAGAATCACGCCACTGATTTGGAGGCAGGAAAGGGGAATGCCACTAGGTCTGGGTGCCCTACTGAACATACACCTTATTTCCAGCACTAACCACCCTAGGGGGTGGGAGGGGGGGTTCCCAGGAGCCTTGCTGCGCCAGAAGGCGGCCTCCTGCCTGCACCCAGGCCTGGCAACATGGATGCCCACCCAGCAGCTGGGGAAAGAGGCAGCCAGCAGCACTCCCCTCTGCCTACCATCCAGCGCCTCTGGCCCATTTTGCCTCTCTCGTCCATCCCTCAGCCCTTCAACCCATGCAACCATTTTCCGTCTGTCTTGCCTTTTCTGCCCACAACCCCCAGCCCCCAATCAAAGAGAATTGAGAAACCGTCTTCTTGCACAAGAGTAGCTACTGTCTAAATGCTTTTTGGTCATCTGCATGGAGGGGGAATTGGGCACAGCCCTGGCCCCAGTGATGGAGCCAAGCTGCAGCTGCCCTGGCTGGCCCAGTCCGCCCTCACCCTGCTCACTGCCCCCGAAGCTTTCGCGATTCATAGTATTTCAGAACGTACCGTCTCTATTCTCTCTTCCCGGTGATGTCAAGCCTGGTACCACCAAGAAGGAAGAAGGGAAAGTAGGAGCCTTATCTCTCCTAAGCTCGCAACCTCTTTCTCCAGCTCCCACACGCCCAGCGTTATATAAACGCACCTTCAGCCCCTACCACAGCCCTAGCGCGGCCGGGGGGCCCCGGGCCTGGCACACCTAGGTGCCGGGGGACAGGGAGGCACAGGGTGGCTGAGGATCCTCGGGCCCTGCAGAGGCTGGAGAAGGAAAAGGCAACTGTAAGGCAGTTGCACAGCATAAAATGCAGCAGCGGAGCAAAGGTCAGACGGCTAGGAGCCGCCTTGCCAAGGAGAAGGGGCAGAAATGCCCAGTCCTTGGCCGGCCCTGCGCTGACCACCGAGGGAGAGAGGCAAAGGGGGAGGAAACCTAGTCCGTCACCGCTCCAAAGGAGAAAAAAAATCTACGTCGAGCATAGGCCGCTGCGGCGGGCTGGGGAGGTATATGGCAGAGCTGGCACCGTGGGCACGGAGCCGGGGGGCGGACGAGCCGACCAGGGTGAGGGCGCCCCCCGACCTAAGCGGTGGCTCCTGACCAAGCCCAGAGCCACCCGTTCCAGAGCTTGAGGCGGGTGGTGGCAGGAGGAGGAAAGAGGCAGGCCAGAGGCAAACTCCCGGGACACGCACAGGGCTTCCCGAGTCGCAGAGGGCGGGGAAGCCGGGCTTGGCAATGCCCAGGGGTCGGAAACGGCGATGCCAGGCTGTGAACACCCCCGGCGCCGTGCCGGCCGGGCCGAGGGCGGCAGGCAGCTGCGGCGCACCGCAGGGACTCAAGGAGGCGCGGGCAGAGGGAAGGAACACTGAGGCGCGCCTAGAAATAGCGTACCATTTACCCCAGCCCGAAGGGGAGTCGCTCGCGGCTCAGAGAGGGGCAGTTTCGGATCCCAAAACCGGCCATGGACTTACTTTGAGGAGCTGCAGAGTCACAAGCATCGCTCCACGTCTGTGTAAATCCCGGAACCCTAGCAGGTCAGCCGCTGCTGTACTCGCAGACGCCGGCCGGAGGAACCGGCGAGGCTCCCTGCGCTCCACAGCGCCAGCTCCGCGCTGTCAGCTTCGTTCGCTGCCTCGGCGGCGATGTTGCAACCACTGCCTGGGAAAATGGCTTTTTTATGAATGGGAGGGAAGGGCGCTCTAGTGCGCATGCGCGCCGCCCGCGATTCTATGAATGGGTGGGCACAAGAGACCCCGCTTGCGCATGCGCTGCGCTCCTTTTTTTATGAATGGGGGGCCGGAAAAGAACTTAACCCGTGATTGCTGGGGCTGGCTCTTGTTCCTCTAGGGGCCGGCGTTCTTTTACAAAGAGGGGTGGAGGTTCGAGTGGAGGTTGTTGTTGCTTTTTTTTTTTTTTTTTTTAATGAATGGAGGGCGGTGGCGACTGCTGCAGCTGGCCCAGCTGCGCGGGCTGTACTCCCTCCCAGCCTGCAAGAGGAGGTAAAGGCCACCTTCATGCCACTGCGGGCCTAGGCAGGAACCGTCAGTGTCGCTGGGGGGTGGGGGGCGCTGCGTCCTCCAAATCCCGCACTGAGAGCGGATGGGGGAGGATGTACCTAGATCTGGGCAGTCCCCGCAGGCAAAGTGGGGGATGGGTGCGGGAGGACCCCTGCTGGGGGCTTTCTGTATCTCTAGACCAGTGATGCCTAGGGGCGTCGTGGGGAGGGATCTTGAAGCTGCGTTTACCAAAAATTAAGAAAACGTCCATCGTCCGTCAGAGAAGGGCTGAGTGGGGGTTGCTGAGTGAATCTGGTTCCTTTCCTGTGTCTGAATCTCTCCTCAGTGCAAGACCACCCCTCCCCCCTTTTCTTGGGTGTAGTGACAGGGCCGAGGCCTTTTCCGGCTCCAGTACTCCCCGGGGCGATCCTGGCAACGCAGCCAGAGGAGGCCTGGCCCTCGCCTCCCAGCGTTCCCCCTCCCCCCACCCCAGCGTAATGTCCGCAGTGCCCGGGGTCCGTCCGCCCTCTGCCGCCTGGCGAGGTGCCCCACTCTACCCCAGTCCGTATCCCAGCCCTACAGGACGCAGGCCTGAGGAACCCCGGTCTACCGAAGGCCCACAGCCCCCCAAGCCCTCGCCAGCCCCCTCAGGGGAAGCGGGAGCGGCCGAGAGCTGGCCAGGTGGATGGGTGGAGCCGGCCGCGCCGAGGAAGCCGCCGGGGTGGGCGCGGGATTAAATAACAACAGGCTCTTGAGCCGCAGAGGAAATGGAAATGGCTGGGGTTCCTTTCTTTGCTGTTAATGATGGGGGGGGGGATCAGCCCAAGCCTGTGAAAAGAAAAGCCGGTGCCATTAGGCCGGACTCGGCGAAGGCCGGGTGACCCCGCCGCAGGTCCAGCTCCGCCCAAGGACAGAGGAGGCTATAGCCTCCGGGGAGTCCGAGATAGGGGGTGGCCTGGATGCGGGGATTAGAGCAGGGCCTCGGCCTGGGTCTGAATTGCCTGTGAAGTGAGTCTTTCCACTGTACTGGCCTCACGGGAAGATTGTAAGGCAGTCTTTTTCTTCCTGCGCCACTATAGGACTGCACTTGGCTGTTGTCAGAGGAACCAATGAAAGACTTCCAGCCCAGGGCTGAGGTCTGGCCTTGAGCTGGGGCTGAGGTTCTTGAGACAGGCAGCTCAGACTAGAACCCAAGGTCACCGAGTCCTCGTCTAAAACACCTTCTCACCATTCAGACTCACCTCGCTGTGATTGCTTGACCCAGCTGCTGGGAGCAGAGCAGACCCTCCCCTAGGGGACCTCAGCCTTCCTTTTAGGGCCAAGACCTTACCCTAAAGCCATGAGAAAAACTCTTCACCAGGACAATGGGGGGATTTTATAGCTGCTCTGGACTTCCTTTTAAGGATATTGAAGTTCAGTATCACTGTCTCCATTTGTCAGATGCAGAAATTGAGGCTAAGGGTTTCGCACCTGGTAAATGGAAGAGCTAGTAAATTGTAGCGCTGATTTTCTAGGTCTTTGCAACCCAGGTTTTTTCTACTTTGCTACCAAGCCTGCTCAGCATCACAGACCTAAAAACCATTTCCTTGCATGTCATTTAAGCACTTTAAACAAAAGTTGAAGTAGTAATTTTCCAGCTAGTGCTCACCCACGGTCCTTGCTCAAACAATTAGAAGGATGGGAATAAATAAATCCTTTTTAATCTATGGCAGAAAAGGAGGAGGGGGAGATCCGATGTCCTGTTCCTTTTATTAGAAAAATTGGCCAAGGGACAAATAGAGTTGCTTTTCATGGTTGTGGGGGTGAGGGAAAACTTCCCTTTTGCCCCAGAAGGTTTGCTGAAAGATCAACTCACAATAAGGCAGAGTAATAAGAGAAAGAGATTTATTTACCCTGTGGAGGGAGAGAATCACAGAGTGATTACCCAGTATCCCAGTGGGGTCCAGAAATTTATATACCCTCATTTTAGAGGGGAGGGAGAGATGAAGAATACAGGTAATTCTGTTTAGAGGCAATAAATGGTTATTTGGGAGGATGAATAGATACTTGAGAGAATGAATGGATGAGGGGAAACAGATTGACTTGTAAATGATTCTCCTTGGAAATTAAATTAACCTGAGACAGGTATTATATTTAAAATGATTTGGGCCAGGTCTGGTTGCGTTCTTCATCTTCTTTCCTGCAATATATTAAGATAATGGGGAAGGGAAGGGAAGTCGATTGTTCTTTTTGATGGGTCTGGTTTGTTTTTTTTTTTCTTTTTAATGAAGAAAGGGGGAAGGCCCCTTCCACTGCCTATTGATTTCTAAGGGTCTTTAATTCAAAATATTCTTTCTACCAAGGGGTCATATTTTGGGCTGAAATTTCCTTATTTCCTTCATAGTCTTTTCCTCAGCTTTCCTGAAGGAGGCAGGTGAGGAGACCCCAGCCCATGGTGAGCTGGGAAGGGGCTTCTGAAGCCTAAGTACTGTGTGGCTGGGAGTGTCTGGGAAGGCTCCGGAGGCCATGCTCTGGTTCTGCTTGGAACCTGACCTGAGGCGTGGTTTGTGGCAGCAATTATGAGAAATTCGCTCGTTCATCCATTCATCATTTCTGTGCTGGGAGTCAGCCTGCGCTGACTCTGAGGACTCAGTGGTGAGGGACAGATAGCCCTCCCTGCCCGTATGAACCTCACAGTCTCTGGAGGAAACAGGCTACGCAATGTGGGGCTACGATCGGTGCTGGGAGGGGAAGTCAGCGTGCTCTGAGGGTGTGTGTGGGGAGAAGGACCTGATTTTGATTTGGGCATCAGGCAGTAGCTCTCTGAGATGGGGCTTGTATTAATAGCTGTGCGTGGAGACTGAAGGGAGGCTGGAAGAGACATCGCAGGCAGAGGGAGCAAGGGTGGAGGCCCTGGCTGGGAAAGCCTGGCATGTTGGAGGCACTGGCGGAAGGCCTCTGTGGCCACAGCTGTATGAGCAAGGTTGCAGTGAGCCTGGTGAGAAGTTCAGATACCATCCCACTAAGGGTTTTAAGCAGGGTGGGACACACTCTGATTTGCATTTTAAACCTCTCCAGCAGCCCTGGGGTCAGTGACTGGGGGGTGAGGGGACAGAATGAAAGATGGTGGGGAATGCCAAACATTGGCTCCTTGGCGGGTTGAAGACACCACATTCATTCTTTTGGGTTGGGCAGCTAGTAGGCTTGTGTTGGATTTGTTTTCCTACCTCATCTGACTGTTCATTCCAAAGCTACTCGCTCTCTTCTCCGGGTGTAAGTTTTCTGCTAGAGGCAAATCCTAACAGCCTTGCATTCCCACCCATGCTAATGACAGTCTTTTCACCCCAACCCCAATATAAAGGGCTTTATACCCCATCAGATCGTCGCCAAGTGAGGTCAGCTCTGGACTTTGCTCTTTTATTAAGCTCCCGGCCTTGCCAGGATGAGTTAGTGGGAGTGAGGAGAGGCAGGAATTCCAATTCAATGACAGACGTTTATGGAGCATTTACCGTGTGCAGCAGCATGTTTTTATATGTGATGTTGCTTTAAGAAGCTGTGTCCTGATCTTATCACCCCTCTTTTCCAGATAAGAAGTCCAAGGCTCCATTTTATTTATTAATTCCACAAAAAATTGTTCTATACTTCCTGTGTGTTAGGCACAGTGCCAAGTGTTAGAGTTACAGTGATAAAAGAAAGGGACAGACCCAGCTACTCGGGAGGGTAAGGCAGGAGGATCCCTTGAGCCCAGGAGTTTGAGATTGCAGTGAGCTGTGATGATGCCACTGCACTCTAGTGGGGGGAACAGAGCGAGACCCTGTCTCAAAAAAAAAGAAAGAAAAAAAAGAAAAAGAAAGGGACAGACATTATTTTTGCCCTCATGGAGCTTATAGTCAGTGATGATGCCATGGGGAGGAAATGGAGAAGGCGGGAATGGGATGTGCTTTCCCCCTATAATCTCCATCAGAACCCTCCTTCATTTCTACGTTCAATTGACATTTCTCAACCTTATATCAAGTACTAAGCAGTTAGAAGCAAAGCCCCGCTACCCAAACATGATCTGCCCCCACCTATATAGAAATTCTGGAACTGCTGTTTATAGTCAAGTAGGAGAGATAGACATTAAATAAATAATTGATCAAAGAACGACTTAATTACAGTTAACATCAGTGGTGCTTACAAAGTACGGAGAGCAAGGGAGGGGCACAGCCTGGGGCCCTGGAGAAGGTTCTCTAGAGCTCAGATCTGCAGAACGCAGACTCAGCCAGGCTGGGCTTAGTGGCAGAAGGCTCAGAAGCAGGAAGGAGCCTTGGGGACCCTAGTCCTTTGAAGAAGGGAGGATATGTCAGAACCAGAGGTTAGAAACCGGTTCTGGCGCTACGTCCTAAGCTTTCTGGTTCAGCGTGTTCAGCTGTTTCAGCTTTGGGGGCTGGAGAGGTTGAAAGACAGATGTGCAGACACTGACCATACATTACTGGGATTAAATCCTTTACAAACTCCATGGTCTTGGACAAGTGATTCAAATTTTATGGGCCTCAGTGTCCCCCTCTGTAATATGAAAACTAATAGTAGTACTTACCGAAAAGGGTTGAATGAAGCTTGAATAAAGCAATAAACATGAAACATTTAGAACAGCTTCTGGCATAGTGTAATCGCCAAATACACGCTAGATGATTATTCAACATATGCAGCCATTTTGATGCAAGGAATG